TCTTTTTCCCCATCTTCACCCCTTGGTGAACCAACTCAACTACATAATCTCTTCCTATCTTGAATCCTTACTCTCTCCCCTTTTCATATCACTGATTGTGCCCTGCTAAGCCTTAGTCTCAGATCACTCCCATCATCTGCTACCTTTGCCCCTACACATGTGCTGCTGAATGAAGGTAGGGAAAATCCTGAAACTATTCTGACTGGGTCCATTACAAATTTGTTTCACAACCTCAACTGGGCCCTCATTGCTGCTAGGCAATCCAACTGTATCTCTTTTATCAACTCACTATCCCTCTCTCCACAGAGGCTTTTCCAAACCTTTTCATACATCTTTTGACTTCTCATGGATCCCCATTCCCCACTCTCTCAGATGAGATTTTTGCCTCATATTTTACAGGGGGAAAAATGAGGCCATGAAGCCATTTGCCATGAGCTACCTTTTTTCCACTCTTCCCCATTTGCTATCACTCAGATGCCTTCTGCCACTATTTCCTCATTCACCCATGATTAAATGGTTTTATTCCTTACCAAGGCTAAGCCCTCAACCTGTTCAAGTGATCCCATTCCATCCTGTCTTTTCCAACTCCTTCTATTATCCCCACTTTATTACTTATTTTTAATCCTTGTTTACTGGCTCATTTTCTAATGCCTGTAAACATGCCCGTGTCTCCCCCATTCTGAAAAATCCTTACTTGATCTTTTCATCCTTGCTAACTATCATCCTATATCTCTTCTACTTTTGTAGGTAAACTGAAAAAGGGCATCTACAATAAGTGCCTTCACTTTCTTTCCTCTCACTCTCTTATTAACCCCCTACAATCCAGCTTCCAACATTATCATTTTACCAAAATTGCTCTCTCCAAAGTTATCAATGATTTTTAGTTAGCAAATCCAAAGGCCTTTTCTCAATCTGCATTCTCCTCATTGAAGCCTTTGACACTGCTGATAACCTTCTCCTCCCCAACACTCTCTTCTCTTTAGGTTTCCAGGACACCAATCTCTCCTGGTTCTCCTCCTTTCTATCTAACTGCTCATTCCCAGCTTCCTTGGCTTGTGCAGCTCGCATCTTCTACCTATAAGTATCCCTCAGGGTTCTGTCCTGAGCCTTCTTCTCTTCTTTTTCTATACTACTTCACTTGGCTATCTCATAAGTTCCCATGGATTAAAATGACATTTCTCTGCTGATGATTCTCAAATCTACCTATCCTGCCTAATTTCTCTGCTGACCTACAATCTCACATCTTCAACTGAATTTGACACTTCAAACTAAATATCCAGTAGACATCTTAAGCCAAGCATGTTCAAAACAGAAGTCGTTATTCCCCCCCACCTAAAAAAATCCCCCTTCCACCTTCCCCATTATTCTAGAGAGCAAAACCATCCTCCTAGTCCCTCAGGCTGGCAACCCAAAAGTTACCTTCAATTCCTCACTATCTCTCACTTCCCCAAATCCAAGCTGTTGCCAAGGTCTATTGATTTTACCTCTGCAACAATTGTCGAATACTCCCCCTTTATTCATTACTCTAATGCAAGCCCTCTTCACCTCACACCTAGACCACTGAAATAACCTGTTGATGAGTCTGTCCGCCTCAAGTATCTCCCCTCTCTAATCCACCCTCCATTTAGCCATCAAAGTGAGTTTTCTAAAGCACAAGTCTGACTAAGCCATCCCCTATTCAAAAACTCCAGTTTAATAGGTATTAAACTGCTATCACTTCAAAGCTCAAATAGAAAACACTCTGTTTGACATCCAAAGCCCTTCATAAACTAATCTTCTATCTTTCAGTCTTCTTAATCTTACTCCCTGGTACATACTCTTCCATCCAGTGACACTAGCCTTCTGACTATTCATGGAAAAGACACCCTATCTCTTGGCTGCAGACATTCATGTTCTCCTTCCTCAGCTCTGCCAAATTAATTCTCTGGCTTTCTTTAAGTACTAACAAAAATCCTACTTTTACAGAAAGCCTTTCCCAACCTCTCTTAATTCTACTGCCTTCCCTTGGCTAATTATTTTCTATTTTTCTTGTATATAACTTGCTTTGTATATATTTGTTTTTGTGTTGTCTCCCCCATTAGATTATAAGCTCCTTGAGGGCAAGGACTGTCTTGCCTCTTTTTCTATCCCTAATGCTTAACAAAGTACCTGGCACACAGTAGGTATTTAATAAATGTTTGTTGATTGATCATTATCACCCCAATTTTACATATAAAGAAACTAGAGAACAGAGTAGTTAAGTGATTGGCCTGTCATGACTCAAGCAGTAACTCTTAGAACTCCTAGTTCTACAGCACTTAGCATTGTAGATTTCACATAGTAGGGATACAATAAATTAACATTTAGCACTTATTAAGCACCTCCTATGTGCTAGGCACTGTTCTAGGCACTGGGGATACAGACAAAAATGAAGTAGTCCCTATTGTCTCTATTCAGTTAATGAGTTCTATCTCCTAACTCCTAGAAGTTATATCTCTTAATGCATTAGTTTTATCAGCTGCTACATCACACTACTAACTCATATTAAACTTGTTGTCCACTAAAACTTCCAAATCTTTTTTTCAAACAAACTGCTTTCTAACTCCTATCTCATACTTGTGATGTTGATTTTTAAAATGAAAGTATAAAACTTTACATTTATTCCTACTGAAGTTATTTATTGGAATCTCACCAGTGGGCTAGCTGGTAAAAAATTCATTGCTGTTTATGGCTTCCAACTTTGTGTCATCTGTAAATTTGATAAAGGTACTAACTATGGTTTTATAGAAGTTCATTGACAGAAATGTTAAATTTCACAGGGCTACACACAGATCCCTGAGGTACTTCATTGGAGACCTCTTGCCAAGTTAACCTCAAATCATGAATAACTATTCTTTGAGTCCAATCATTCAACCAGTTCTGAATTCATCTAGCTGTATTATTATCTACTCCACGTGTCTTGAGCGATACCTTAAATTTAAGTTAACTATATCTAGAGCATTCCCCTGATCTGCTAGTTTAGTAACTCAAAAAAGGAAATAAAGTTTGTCTGGCAAGATCTATCTTTGAAGAAGCCATATGAACTCTTCATAATCACAACTTCCTTTTCTAGAGAGTCACCAAACCATTTCTTTAGAGATCCTTTCTTGAATTTTCCTAGGAATTGAAGTCAAGTTCACTGGTCTATTGTTTGTAGATTCTGTTCCCTTCCCTCTTCTGAAAACTGGGATATTTATCTTTTTTCAATTCTATATTATCTCTTCCATTTTCCATAGTTTTTCAAAAATCACTGACAGTAGGTTGGCAGTTATATCTCTCAGTTCTTTCAGGACTTAAGGCTCTAGTTCATCTGTCCTAGATGACTTGAATTCATCAAGAGTTACTAGGTAATCTCTTACTCCTTCCTTATTCAACTTCAGTATCAATTCTCTTAGATGGTGTGTTTGGTCAGTTGCAGTGAAAAGGTCATCATTCTCCTTGGCAGAGAAAGGTACAGAAGTAGGAACTAGGCTTGTCATTATAGTGTTATAGGGAAATTCCAGGTGAAAAGACTCCCTTGTCCAAAGCAGATCAGCACTTGCCTTGTATAATCCTAGAGAGTCACCCAGAGTGCTGAAAGATTAAGTGACTGCCCAGTCCCATGGCCAGTATACATCAAGTGGTATTCAGACCTTGAACCTGGGTCCTCCTGGCTCTCTATTCACTATGCTACTCTGTTTTTCTCACAGAGAAAATAGAAATATAATAAGAAGCAAACTCTGCCTTCCCTCTGGTCCCAGTTATCACCATCTCATCTAAGCAGCAGTCTTCTCTCTTCATCGAATCTACTCTTTTCTACAATAAAACAACTAAACACACACACACACAAAAAAAAATAACAACAAATCCCCATCATTTTGTTGTCTACTTCCCTTGTCCTTCTCAGCTTTTCTGAGACTACTTTTAAAGAACCATGCCATTCCCTTATATTCTTCTGGTTACCTGACCTTGCTTTCCTCTTTTTTTTTTATTCTCACTTCATTGATTAGGAACTTGCCCCAAAGTTCCACAGATAGCAAGAAGCAATGAATGCTGGGATTCTGAACCCATTCTCTGACTCTAAATTCAACCCTCTTTTTTTACTGCATCATACTTTTTCTATTCTAGTATATAAGGAATAATTCAACATCACCAAATATAATTTATTAAGCACATAAATGTCAAATTTGTTGAAAAATGTAATGGGGAAGAATGAAGTGCTCTTGAGAGGATGATTTAGTCAGCATATTGCCTCCTGAAAATACTCATTCTGGACTATAAATATAGCTACTGGCTTGTGGAAGGAAAATTTCCTTAAGTCACCTCTTCCTATTGAATCCGAGTGACCAACCACTCCACTAAAATATTCAGCCTGAGTTTCCTCCCTCTCTGAGTTATACCTTTTAATGATTTCAATCAATCTCATCATCCTTTAATATGAAATATGACTATATCTAACTGAATTGAATGTTGGAGACTAAGCAAAAATAGTGTATTTTGATATGAGCATCTCAGACATACAGAAATAAAGGGAAAATACTTGTAACTTCTGGAAAGCTACCTTACTTGTCATGGGATTATAGGACCAAAGGTTTAGAACTGGAAACAATCTTGGAGATCATCTAATCCACCCCCTTCATTTTCTTTTTTTTTTTCTTTTCTTTTAACTTTTAATTTTTTTTTCATTTTATAAGCATTCATTTTTCTACTTCACCCACTTCTTTCTCCTCATTGGATAGGGAGAAAAAATTAAACTTTTATGTGAAATATTCTTGATCAAGCAAAGCAAACCCCCACATTAGCCATGTCCGAAGCAGATAAGGCAAAAAAGACCTAGGACGGTTAAATGACTTGTCCCCAGCAACATAAGGAGTAAGTGGCAGAGCTATGTTTGCCCTTCCCTCCACCATAATGTTTGTATTATGAAGTCCTATACAGAACTTCCTCTTGACAATAAAAAACAAATTCTTTCTTACAAAGAAAACCAAGGCAGATAGAATTACCTGTCTGACGTGGTGTCACTTGTAATGGGATGCTTCATTCCTGATCCATTTTTAATTGAGTCCTGCCTTGTAAGCCCATGAGGTCGGCTTTTGTCCATAGCAGGGGCAGGCAGGTCCCCTGGGGTTCCCTGGTACTGAGCCTGCTCATGTAGCTTTGCTTTCTTCTCCTGAGGAGCTTCTTCATTTCGCATCCCTCGGAGAGCCTGTTGGTCAGGGTGCTGTGGTGTGTTGGAGCCACTGTTATAGAACCAAGCTCCTGATTTGGTGAGGATTTCTTGTTGTTTTCGGCACAAGTTACATACCCACATAACCTGCACAAAAAACAAGGACAGGCAAAAAATGATGTAGCTGCTTAAATTAATTTAAATTCAACAATCATTTATTAAGCACCTACTACATATCTCAAAGGTACAAAGACTAAGCTTTAAAAGCTTACATTCTACTACATTTACATTTTATTTTTATAAAATAAGGGGTCGGACTAGATCATCTCTAACATCTTTTCCAGTTCTAAAGACAACTGGGCATGTGTTCCAGTTAGGGTTAGTTTATGTAGTTACCACTTTGTAGTTTACTGACTTTGAAGATGACAAGATGGAGCTACCACAAAGCTAGAACAAAAATAGAAGGCCATTCCCCTTCAGCTTTCTTTCATTTTATTAACAACAACAACAACAAAAACCAACAAAACAAAACTTATGCAATTCAAGGAAATTTTTCATGAGTTACGTAATGAAGCATTTGATTTGATCTACCATCTTTATTGCTATTTTGGCTATTAGCGTTATCTCCTCAACTGAGCTGTAAGTTTTTTGAGGTCAGAAAATGTAGGTTTGTATTTCTTGTAAATGCCCCACAGGCCCTAAAATAGTACTAGATATACAGTAATATTTAATGAATATTTCTTGATTCTCTATGCTATAAGGGAAAGAGGTGCAAGATTTGGAGTCAGACAACCTTAGTTCCAATCCTTGGCCTGCCACTTATTACCTATGGAACCTAGTTCAAGTCATGTAGCCTTTCTGGTTCTTAGTTTCTTCATCTATAAAAGGAGAAAGGTTAGACTAGACAACCTTAAAGATCCCTTCCAGCTCTATATTTAAGATCTTGAAAAGCTGAAAAAAACAGCCAGCATCCTGGATGATGGAGAGGTAGGCTTTTCAAAGATCTTGAGAGGCTAAAACAGTTTAATGAATCTAATATAATAAAATTTAATATGGAAAAATGTAAAATCTTATTCTTGAATTAAAAAAATTAACTCTATTAGTATAAGATGGGAGCAATATGGTTAGAAAGGAATTTTCCTTAAAAAAAAAACCCAGGTGTTTTAGTGGCCCACAAACTCAACATGAGCCAACAATGTGATGTGGGAATCAAAAAAAGCAGATATGACATTGGTCTGCAATATGAGAGCCATAGTTTCCTCAGGAGGTGATGCTATTATTATGCTATGCCCTGGTCAGACCACGTCTGAAGAAGAGTTATACAGTTATGGAGATCACAGTTTAGGAAGAACATCAATAATCTGGAGAACACCAGGGAATTGGCAAACAAAATGACAAGTTAGTCAACAAACATCTTCCACTGTGCTTAGCAGTCAAATGGGGGAGACAAATTTAGCCTCAATGTCAGCAGAACTTCTTAACAATAAGACTTCTCCAAAATGAGTGGGATGACTAGAAATATGTTCTCCCCATTAGAAGAAGTCTTTAAGCAAAAGCTAGGTGACTACTTGTCAGGCATGTTGGGTAAGGAGTCTTTTTTAGGTATTGGTTGGACCCAATGACTATGGATGTCCCTTCTAACTCTGAAATCTGTTATTTTGTAAAAATCAAAGTTCTAAAATATAATTTTAGTGCCAAAGCAATGTTTTGAAACCAATGTTAAACTTTATACCTTTTCTCCACCTGTCCTAATCCTTTCCCTCTTCAAGACCCAGCTCAAATCAGTCTCCTTCTTAAAGCCTCCCCTGACTAATAATTCCATCCCCAAATAAGCTTTACCTCACTGTAAAATCCTAATTCATTTCCATTTCATCCCACATGGCTGGGCATTTATTCGTGTATTGTTTTCTATTGTTTTGATTCTAAAATACTTAAAATATTCAAGGGTATTAATCAGATCCTTTATTCCTATTGTATTCTATATAGTGTCTATCACAGTAATGACTTAATAAAAACTTGTTAAATTTAATTTATCTGAATCTATCATGAACCAAATAAAAGACAGTAAAGCATGTGGTACAGTTATGCCAGGATCTGTTCATTTATAATTTATAGCCTGCCTTCTTCCAAAAGAATTTGGGACAGCAATTATACTAGTACATAAGTGGATTTAATTCTTAGAAGAATTATTTCTAGCATGAAAATACCATCTTCCCTAAAGAAAAGAAAATGAATTGTTGTCTTATGGCTTAATTTTGTTTTGCTAGGGTTAGTTCAAATCAGGACTAAATGAAATCCATGTAATCCACCAAAATGCTGACAGGAATGTCATATTTCAGGCTCAAACTTCAGTCTTTGTCCACCATCTTGTGACAGAAGTTGGTACTGCAGGTGTCTCAAATAAAGTAAAAATGCATTAGAGAAAGAACATAACCCTAGAACATTCTATTTTAGGTTGGAAAGGACTGCATAAAGTTGAGTCACTTCAATCACTGCTTTTTGTGACAAGGGCCAGATATATTCAATGACTTGCCTGAGGTCACAAAACTAGTTAAAGAGAAAGTTGTGACTAGAACTCATTTTTATGTAGTACTAGCCTAGTGCTCTTTTCTACCCTATGTTCCTTTAAATTTAGCTACTTTAAAGTTAGTAAAGCATGTCATTTTAGTTTTTCCTCTTTACTCTTATACAAATGACCCTGGTTCTTCCATTCGGTCCCATGTTGATTCCTTCTTGTGGTATTAAGGTGACTATGAATTCTGTAGAAATCCAAGTTCTAGGCAGGTCCTATCAAGTTCAAAAAGTTTTTAGTAGCAGGTTGGTCATGTTCACATGTGTGTCATCCTGAGGACCAGCCTAGCTAAGTAATAGACTGTATGTTTGTCAATTGAAAACTAACCTTGCCAAAATGTTGGCCACCACTTGATGCCAGATCACAAAAAGTATCCACTGGGGGAAGGAGCAATTTGCATTGGTAGAAGGGGTGCTCACACTGATGAAATCAACAGTATTTAATGTATGTAAGTACTCCTTGGTCACATGTGAAAAATTGAGTCCCATGAAGTTGACATGAATTTTCATGAAACCACTATATATCTATCTTGGAATAACACATATTTATCTTAGAGAACCACATATCTATCATGGAATAACAGTCTTCTCACACACACAATTGAGGTAAATTTGATAAATTGAAAGATGGATAGCTAATCAATCACTGTTACCTAGAGACAGCCTTCACCTGCTTTCTTCTCTTTCTCCTCCTGATTATATCTACTAATTAGTACCATATATATTTGTCAGGGCCAGGTCCTATAAAATTTACCTTCTTTTCCTCCTTTACCTTTTTCATTCTCCCTTCTCCCTTCTCAGAAATGACTTAGTAACTAATAACTAATTATCTTATGAGTGAACTTAAAACCATTAGTTCTGAAGAGAGTAAAAGAATAAAAAAAAAAAACACAGTCTTATGTATACTTAAAACTTCCCAGATAAAGATGGTGCTATTAGTAATGAACACATTTTGAATTACTCTTCTGCTGATGATAATGGATTTGCATGGCTAGAGGTGCCACCTATGATCATAAAACAGGGCAAAGTTATTTCTCTTGGATTTTTTGGACCACATTTATGATTTCATTAATGTAGGAAACTCCTGACAAGAAAATTCCTTCTGTCAATAAAGATCAGTTACTGTTCTGCAACTTAGTCTTTAGAAAGATGTCTGGTGTACTTAGAAGTTAGGTGACTTGCCTCCCTTGGTCACATGTATGCATCAGAGATGAAACTTGAAACCCAATTCTGAGTCTTCCTAATTCTGAGGTTGACTCTCTATGCTTTGTGCCATGCTTCCTCTAACTTTTCTCATAATGTAATAAGTCTCACAAAAAAGACTTCATTAGAACCATAGAGCTAACTGCTTATCCTACAACATAAACTATAAGGATTATGATTTTAAATGCCTGAAAAATGAGTTTGCTTATGGAATTCCACAGTCAGGGCCAATTAGCTTTGTTGGTTATCATCATCAACAACCACAAAGAACATTTATTGTGTACTCATTACATGCAAGACAATGCTAGACACTGGAAACATAAAAAGATAGAAGACTCTATCCCTATTTTCCAAGAACTCATCATTTAGTTTCAGATAAAAAACCAAATACATTAAACATTAACAATAATAGTAATAATAATAATAAATGTCGCATACAATGAACACCAAATACTACTAGACAGTAAGTGCTACTGGAGTTCAAAGAAGGGAGAGACAGTGAGATTTAATGATTTAAAGAAAGGTGTTTATGAGTCTGTAGTCCAAGCATCAGAATGTCCAATTACCTCTATACAGAAAAAAGATCTATTCGGCTAGAATGCTCACTATCTGCCAGCTATTTTATAAAGACAAATATTAGGCACAAGTGAAATTATTAAGTATAGATAAAGTAAGACAAATTCATCATGCCCAATGGGAAAAAAAACAAGGTGCACATTCTATTAAATGTGACTCAGTAATATCACTTGTATATGAAACATAACACATGATTAAAATATTAAGACAAAAGAGTGTAATATATGTCATGGCCTCCTCTTCTCTGTCCTCTCTTTCCCCCCTCTCTCCTTCCTTCTCTCTCGTCTTCTTTCTTTCCCTCTGTCTCTCTTTCTCTTCTCTTTTCCTCTCCCCTCCACGTCCCCCTCTCTTTCCCTCCTCCTCTCTCCTTCCCTTTACCTCTACTTCCTTCCTCTCCTCTGTCTCTCTCCTCCTTTCTTCTTCCCTGTCCCTCTCTTCTCTACTCCTTCTCTCTCTTCTTCCCTCCACTCCTTTGTTTCTCTCTCCCCTTCCCTTCTATCTTTTTCTTTCTATTGCCCTTCCCTCCATCTCTCTTCTTTCCTCCCCTTTTCTCCCACCACATATAGATTATAGATACAGATACAGATACAGATATAGATATAGATATAGATAGATATAGATATAGATAGATATGTGATTGTGTTTTCCAGGAAAATTCCCGAACTAGAAACTCCCTCACAAATGCAGTTGTCAATCCTTCTGTAACTCAAAATCTTAGAAGGTTGCCTTCTAAGGAGTCAACTAGCAGTGAGTGTGAGATAGAGGCAAGATTTTATCCCAGGCTTTCCTAACCACAA